ACCCAAGAAGGAAATAATATTAGCTAACAAAAATAAAAACAGAAAGTGCATGCAAGCAACTTCCAAAAAATTTGTGAGTTGACAGAAACAGCCAGCTGCCTGGACAGTCACCTGAGGTTTCTCCACAGTGTTGGGGCATCATCTTCAGCCTATAGGCTTAGCATATCTGACAGACTCATTTGTGAGGTAGGATGTACACAAGGTCGACAGTTCAACCTCACATTGGGTGAGAGCAGTCCATGTACCAGAAACACCTGACTGTTGGGCATTTTGATGTCTAATTTCTTGAATTCCCTATATATTCTGGATATCAGTCCTCTGTCAGATGTGGGGTTGGTGAAGATCTTTTCCCATTCTGTAGGCTGTCGCTTTGCCTTGTTGACCGTATCCTTTGCTCTACAAAAGCTTCTCAGTTTCAAGAGGTCCCATTGATTGATTGTTTGTCTCAGAGTCTGTGCTACTGGTGTTCTATTTAGGAAGTAGTCTCCTATGCCAATGCGTTCAAGACTACTTCCTACTTTCTCTTCTAGCAGGTTCAGAGTAGCTGGATTTATGTTGAGGTCCTTGATCCACTTGGACTTAAGTTTTGTGCACGGTGATAGATATGGATCTATTTGCAGCCTTCTACATGTTGATATCCAGTTTTGCCAGCACCATTTGTTGAAGATGCTTTCTTTTTTCCATTGTGCGCTTTTGGCTTCTTTGTCAAAAATTATATGTTCATAGGTGTGCGGATTAATGTCAGGGTCTTCAATTCGATTCCATTGGTCCACATGTCGGTTTTTATGCCAGTACCAAGCTGTTTTTATTACTGTAGCTCTATAGTAGAGCTTGAAGTCAGGGATCGTGATGCCTCCAGAAGTTGTGTTATTGTACAGGATTCCTTTGGCTATCCTGGGTTTTTTGTTTTTCCATATGAAGTTGAGTATTATTTTTTCCAGGTCTGTGAAGAATTGTGTTGGTATTTTGATGGGGATTGCATTGAATCTGTAGATTGCTTTTGGTAAGATTGCCATTTTTACTATGTTAGTCCTGCCTATCCATGAGCATGGGAGATCTTTCCATTTTCTGACATCTTCTTCAATTTCTTTTTTCAGGGACTTAAAGTTCTTGTCATATAGGTCCTTCACTTGCTTGGTTAGTGTTACCCCAAGGTATTTTATGTCGTTTGTGGCTATAGTAAAGGGTGATGTATCTCTGATTTCCTTCTCCGCTTCTTTGTCCATTGTATATAGGAGGGCTACTGATTTTTTTGAGTTGATCTTGTATCCTGCTATGTTGCTGAAGGTGTTTATAAGCTGTATCAGTTCCTTGGTGGAATCTTTGGGGTCGCTCAAGTATACTATCATGTCATCTGCAAATAGGGAAAGCTTGACTTCTTCCTTTCCAATTTGTATCCCCTTAATCTCCTTATGTTGTCTTATTGCTCTGGCTAGAACTTCAAGTACTATATTGAATAAGTATGGGGAGAGTGGACAGCCTTGCCTCGTTCCTGATTTTAGTGGAATTGCTTTGAGTTTCTCTCCATTTAATTTGATGTTGGCTGTTGGCTTGCTGTAAATTGCCTTTATTATGTTTAGGTATGTTCCCTGTATTCCTGATCGCTCCAAGACCTTTATCATGAAGGGGTGTTGGATTTTGTCAAATGCCTTTTCTGCATCCAGTGAGATGATCATGTGGTTTTTTTCTTTGAGTTTGTTTATATGGTGTATTACATTGACGGACTTTCGTATGTTGAACCACCCTTGCATCCCTGGAATGAATCCTACTTGATCATGGTGGATAATTGTTTTGATGTGTTCTTGGAGTCTGTTTGCCAGTATTTTATTGAGTATTTTTGCATCAATGTTCATGAGGGAGATCGGTCTGTAGTTCTCTTTCTTTGTTGTATCCTTGTTTGGTTTAGGAATTAGGGTAATTGTAGCCTCGTAGAAGGAGTTTGGTAATGTTCCTTCTGTTTCTATTGTGTGGAACAATTTAGAGAGTATTGGTATTAACTCTTCTTTGAAGATCTGGTAGAATTCTGCGCTGAAACCATCTGGTCCTGGGCTTTTTTTGGTTGGGAGACTTTTAATGACTGTTTCTATTTCGTTAGGGGTTATTGGACAATTTAAATAGTTTATCTGGTCTTGATTTAACTTAGGTATGTGGTACCTATCCAGAAAGTTATCCATTTCTTTTAGGTTTTCCAGTTTTGTCGAATAGAGGTTTTTGAAGTATGACCTGATGATTCTCTGGATTTCCTCAATGTCTGTTGTTATGTCCCCCTTTTCATTTCTGATTTTGTTGATTTGGATGCTCTCTCTCTGTCTTTTGGTTAGTTTGGATAAGGGCTTGTCTATCTTGTTGATTTTCTCAAAGAACCAACTCTTTGTTTCATTAATTTTTTGTATTGTTCTCTTTGTTTCTATTTTATTGATTTCAGCTCTCACTTTGATAATTTCCTGGCGTCTATTTTTCCTGGGAGACTGTGCTTCTTCTTGTTCTAGAGCTTTCAGGTATGCTGTTAAGTCTCTAGTGTGAGATTTCTCCAACTTATTTATGTGGGCATTTAGTGCTATGAATTTCCCTCTTAGTACTGCTTTCATAGTGTCCCATAAATTTGGATATGTGGTGTCTTCATTTTCATTGATCTCTAGGAAGTCTTTAATTTCTTTCTTTATTTCTTCCTTAACCCATTGGTGATTCAGTTGGGTATTATTCAGTTTCCATGAGATTGCAGGTTTTCTGTAGTTTTTGTTGTTGTTGAAATCCAACTTTAGACCATGGTGGTCTGATAGAACACAGGAGGTTATTCCAATTGTTTTGTATCTGTTTAGATTTGTTTTGTGGACAAGTATGTGGTCAATTTTAGAGAAGGTTCCATGGGGTGCTGAGAAGAAGGTATATTCTTTTTTGTTAGGATGGAATGTTCTGTAGATATCGATTAAGTCCATTTGAGTCATGACATCAGTTAAGTCCTTTATTTCTCTGTTAAGTTTCAATTTGGGAGATCTGTCCAGTGGTGAAAGTGGGGTGTTGAGGTCTCCCACTATTAACGTGTGGGGTTTTATATGTGATTTAAGCTTTAGTAATGTTTCTTTTACATATGTGGGTGCCCTTGTGTTTGGGGCATAAATATTCAGAATTGAGACTTCATCTTGGTGGATCTTTCCTGTGATGAGTATGTAATGCCCTTCTTGATCTCTTTTGATTGATTTTAGTTTGAAGTCTATTTTGCTGGATATCAGGATGGCTACACCCGCTTGTTTCTTAAGACCGTTTGATTGGAAAGTCTTTTCCCAGCCTTTTATTTTTAGGTAGTGTCTATCTTTGAATTTGAGATGTGTTTCTTGTATGCAGCAGAAAGATGGGTCCTGCTTTCGTATCCATTCTGTAAGCCTATGTCTTTTTATAGGTGAATTAAGTCCATTGATATTGAGGGAAATTAATGACCAGTGATTGTTCATTCCTGTTATTTTTTGGTGGTGATGTGTGGGTACTTCTATACGTTGGGGTTTACTGCTGTGGCTTTATCTGTTGCCTGTGTTTTCGAGGGTGTATCTGACTTCCTTAGGTTGGAATTTTCCTTCTAGTGCTTTCTGTAGGGCTGGGTTTGTGGATAAGTATTGTTTAAATCTGGCTTTGTCATGGAATGTCTTGTTTACTCCATCTATGGTGATTGAAAGTTTTGCTGGGTATATTAGTCTAGGTTGACATCCATGGTCTCTTAGTGTCTGCATTACATCTGTCCAGGTTCTTCTGGCTTTCAAAGTCTCCATTGAGAAATCGGGTGTTATTCTGATGGGTTTGCCTTTATATGTCACTTGGCCTTTTTCCTTTGCTGCTCTTAATATTCTTTCTTTATTCTGTACGTTTAGTTGTTTAACTATTATGTGGCGAGGGGACTTTTTTTGGGGGTCTAGTCTGTTTGGTGTTCTATAAGCTTCTTGTATCTTCATAGGCATTTCCTTCTTTAAGTTGGGAAAGTTTTCTTCTATGATCTTGTTGAATATATTTTCTGTGCCCTTGAGTTGGTATTCTTCTCCTTCTTCGACCCCTATTATTCTTAGGTTTGGTCTTTTCATGGTGTCCCAAATTTCTTGGACATTTTGGTTCATGACTTTGTTGGTTTTAGTGTTTTCTTTGACTGATGAATGTATTTCTTCTATTGTATCTTCAACGCTAGAGATCCTCTCTTCCATCTCTTGCATTCTGTTGATTATACTTGCATCTGAAGTTCCCAATCGTTTTCTCAGATTTTCTATTTCCAGCATTCCCTCTGTTTGTGTCTTCTTCATTTTTTCTATTTCCCTTTTCAGGTCTTGGACTGTTTCCTTCATTTGTTTCATTGATTTTTCTTGATTTTCTCTCAGTATTTTATTGTTTTCTTCCAGGACTTTATTGATTTCTTCTAATTTGTTTGCCCTTTCCTCTAGTTGTTTACAGCGTTCTTCACATTTTTTTGTCTTTTCCTCTACGCAAGCCTCTAGCTTCTTCATGATGTCATTCATAAGGCTGTTTTCTTCTGCTTCTTCCAATTTCTGATGTTCAGGTCTAGGTGTTGGAGGAGGGCTAGGGCCTGGTGATGCTGTATTGCTATTCATTTTGTTGTATATGTTTCTGCCTTGACGTCTGCCCATCTCCTTGTGGTTCGTTCTTGGCCTTATCCGCACACTTGGTTCAGACAGACCAGTGTTCCAAAAGGGAAGTCAGTGTTCCAAAAGGGAAGTCCGGAGCAAGATGGGAGCTGGGGGCCGGCCTCTAAGTCTCAGGAAGAGGCTTGGGGCTCAGGCGGATGGGCGTGGTGGCAGGGCGTGGAGACTGCAGGGTCTGCCAGGGGTCTTGGAGAAGGGGATCCTTCCCGGTGGGGCTAGCAGGGAACCTGCCCGGTGGCCAGAACCTGGGGCCGAGTTGGGCAGGTCTTCCCTGGAGTGGCTGGTGCCCAGGGATGGGGTCTGGGGCAAGGAAGGGTACTCACGATTGTTCCAAAAGGGACGTCCGGAGCAAGATGGGGCGACATACAAACATTTTAAAGGTCCTTATGAGTAGCTCTTTTGACACTTAGGACCAGATAACACCATACCATGGGACCTATTCTACACAGGGTCATTCTTGTCTTCTTCCTGAGGAAGAAGAAACTAGCCATCTCCAAAAGTCGTCGTAACCAAAGAAGTCTCCAAATATTGTACATTGCCCACAGATGCCCAAATGCTTCCACACTGTATAAATCTTTCTGTTTTCTTTTCATTATTATTTGAATGTGTTTCTCTGAATGTAACAATTTCATAGCTATAACCAGGAAAATCTCAGGCAAACTTCTCAAGCTGGGCACTCTAATCAGGCCCCACTGTGTATTATTATATGGATTTAAATAATATGCAACAGAATTGCCTAGCTAGAGTTTGCTCTAGCATGTAAAACAAGCTTCTAATTTCTTCAAGACAATTCTGTGGTGATAAACTGCAGTAAAAATGTGAATTCAATGTATTTTTAGCAAATCTGGTAAAAGGTGTTTTGCTAAAACTTGACCATATGTGAAGTGGATTATATATTTTTGTCTGGCAATAAGACCATGAAATTCATATAAGCCAAATGGAAATGTATTTTAAAAGCCATAAGAGAGAATACTTGTCACAAATAAGTTTTACAATCAAAATCCAAACTTGTATATAAAATTAGAAGTCTAGTGATTTATAATTGCAAGTTTAGCTTCGGTTTATCCAATCCTCTTATTTGTTTCAGTAAATTAAGAGGATGGAAGACAAAATGATTGACTCAAGGGCACAAAGCTAGCATTACACTCTCAATGTTCAGGCATTCTAAATATAGCTATGCAAGCTAATTGAAAATTTACGAGAGAAAAACTAGGTTAAGTATTGTTCCTCCTGCTTTTTTAGGTTTTAGAAAATAAATGTTGATTACTGAGCTCATGCATATTGGGATCCTACTATAAATTAGGGTTACTGCTTAGTGTTGAGGGACAAAGTTCAATAACACCTCCTCAACAGGACAGTACTTGATGAGCATTGGTAAATCACTAATTGCTGCACATGATATGAGCAGGTGTCATCATTCTCATCTTCCTCATCATCACCAATCACTGACTGTGTGCTACATGTTATGTTCAGTGCGTTTCTATTGTTTTATCTAAGCAATCACACTATATGTTATGTGAGCATTGTGAGGTTGTGTAGCCTCTACAAGATGAAGTTAGGCTGGCAGAAGTACGTCACTAGGGTGATTCTTTGGTGGTGATACCCACCCCTGGCTCTAGTTTAGAAAGCTCTGCTTTGTGTCTGCCACAATGTGAACAAGCATCAACTTCACATTCCAGCCACCACAGGTATATTCCCACCACTATGGCTTCTCCATCGTAACACATTGTTATTCTTCAAAATCATAAGGTAAAACCACCTTTTGTTTCTTTAAGTTGATTCTGCCCAATATTTTGGTCAAAATAATGCAAAAGTAACTAACAATAGATATTCAGATTTTCTTTAGTAAATTATATATAAATGGTACTTAAGATCTGTTTCATATGTTTTAGAGATGACAAGGTGGTCCATAAATACAGGGGCAAAAATTACATTCTAAATCTGGACATTGTGCCTCTAACTGACATTCTAATCTCTGGCAAAATACTTTTCCCTTGTAACTGCTATTTTGGTTCATATATGGACGAGTGTGTAATTTATTCTTTCTCAAATAATATAGCAGTATGTTGTATCATATAATCTTTTTTAGGTTTAGAAAATAGCTTAGTTTCCATGTTTCATATTGTTCTCAGACGGAAACTCAAAAAGAGGGCACCCTGGGAAGCATTATTAATCCACTAAGGAAACGGGTCCAAAGGAAAAACCTTTCTAAGGTCACAGAAACAGCAACTAGGAAATCTAGGTTTGGAAGCCTGACATCTGATTCCAAAAGCTGACAATATTGTCTATCTCAAGGGTAAGAGGTATGGTGAAGTGCAGCCTCAACCAATTCATGCTTGCATATATGTCTTCTCTGGTTCAGAAAGACTTATACTACCCATGAACATGGCAATGAGCAATAAGCAGAGAAAAAACATCCAAGGGAACTGATAACCTTCCAGTCTACAGTCGCTTAGTAATAAAGGAACAACATGCCAAAGGTATGAAAGAACTGAACACTTTCTCATGGGACATCCTTGTTCTTCTTGTCCTAGTAAATATCAAGAACTTGCATTTAGAATATCTGTTCCATGTGTCATGCACTATGTCACACTTAACATATGTTCAATTTGTCATGTTCCATATGTGCTATATGTTATATATGTTACACATAAACATATGTTACTTTAAAGATCTTTGAAGGGTCATCAACAATCATTGTATAACCTGAAGGCCCTTATTTTACTCATTTCTTCATAATTATGGGTAGAGAGGAATGAGTCTTTCTTTGTGGTTCATGAGATCATAGTTTGTGGATCAAGTCTTCAGAATAGGTTATTAAGTGTAAGGGTGTCTCTTCATGCCTGGTCCTAGCAGCATTATAAGCACATTCTAAGTGTTCAGCTAAAGTCAGCTACATTAAATTGATGCAGATTTCATGTATCACAACATTCAGTTTTACATAGTTTATATCTAAACAGTTACTCTTATTCATTGATAGAGTTCATATTAGTCAGAAAAGCATTGTTTTTCTACGAAAATGGATATTATCTTTTATGGAATACCTCTTAGGTAGAGCATTCTTCAGTCTTGAATTGGACACTCACTAAGTAAGATGGTAAGCACCCCCTTTGTCCACATGAGCTACAGATCTAATGCTTATATTTACAGGTAGACTTTTCTTTCCAGCTCTATAACTCAAATGATATAACTCAAATCTGGCTACAACCCTTTTCACTTCCTGTCATTGTATTATTAGAAATTGGTTGGAAATTTTCCTCCTTCTGAGCTTTTCAATAAAAGAAAACTTGAAGCTCTTTATTTTGTGGGTTTTGTAGATACAAAAAGGCAGCCGTCACTACATTTCCCCCATGTTCCCAGCTCTTTTTTGCACATGGCACCATATGTTCTATTTTCTAAGCTGTATCTTATTTAGTTAAGGTGGTTTTTATTAAATTCAAAATATGGTAATTACTATTTGAGATCTTAAAGACAAATATTAAATTGTGTTTTGTGTTTTAACTAACTAAAAGGAATGAGTATATTGACATCAATATTTGAGAATACAGAGAGGAAAATAATAGAAAAAGAAGTCTCTCTTTATGCCTGTCTCTGGCTGGATTATTTTTTTCTCTTGTTGAAGCATTCCAGTCCCTCTGTCAACCTCTGTTGAAGTGTCTGTCCCCGTCAATTATCTGTCACTGCTTAATGCCATTCTTAAAAAGACTTACAAACTTTCTGAGTGACATTGTAACTTCAATCAATATGCATTTCTGCCACAGTGGAAATTATTTTTGAAAACTTCTGCATCCTTTCTAGGTTCTTTGAGATCTTAATTGCCTAGGGTGTCACTCGAGCTCTGCACTTTCTGCACGTGGTTCCTTTTGAAAGAAGTCTGTGTGAGCATAAGGTGCATTTCATTCATAAGCCAGTTAGACCAGTTGTAAGGTCTTGTCTGGCAAACTGTGTGGGACATTATGGCAAGTAAGAAGATGGTCTAAACTTCTGGGAACTGAGATACAGAATCTCACAGCATTTACTATGCAGAGATTGAATCCAAATGGATTTATACCTATTAATTTGACTTCTACAAACCCTACAACCCAAGAGTTCACATCAACTATTGAAATAGTGAGTTGCAATTTGCAATACTGAAAATCAAAATGCTTAACTCATAAGATATTATGGTGATTAACTGTAACTGTACTTCTTGCTTCAGACATTGTAAGGATTCAATCAATGCCCATTTGTCATCTTTCCATGCCTGTCTCTGGAAAAACATTAAAAAAAATATGATGGACTTCAAAACAGGAAACATGAGGACAAGACATTGTCAGAAACAAGAATCCAGACTTTGATGTTCTCATTGAAAAATATTCTGTTCGTAGACTCTGGGTGCCATCTTTTGATTTCTGTTTCTGACTGGCTCTCTCATTCATGCTTCCTTTTATGACTTTCTATTCCATCCCTCCATTCCTCTCTTCTTGCCTTCTCACTGCCTGCCTACTTCTTTCCTTCCATCTATGAATAAGCCTCAGAGAAGAGGTACAGAAAACTGACATGCCATATGGGTTGTTTTTAACATTTTTCAGAAAAACTGAGTCTGAGTGGTCTGGAACTTACCCGAGTTCAGCCAGGAAGAATATTGTGAGCTGGGATATCAGTCCTTTGAGGGCTTTGTCTGCATGAAACTGCTCTGCCTGCAGCACACTACACAGCCATACTATTTATTTCTCTTATCAAATGACACTAAGCCCACACTTTTGTTTTCCTCTTAGGGAAGGGCTGACTCCACGTCTAATAGCGGCTATTAACATTCTCATACAAGGTCCTTTTAAAATGTAGTAATAGCTTTGAGATTAATTTCTTTTAAAGCAAACTTGAACCAGCTTTTCTATTGATGCTATGAAGAGGAAAATAGTCTTGCCCAAGGTCGATAAAGAATTGAAAAGTGAGGTTAATAATAAAAGCAGAATTAGAAGTAGTTTCAGTGGTAATATGTCATGCTCAAGCCTATAAAATAAATAGCAATTATCACATTAGCAAATGAGTCTCTCAGAAGGGGAACTGTTGCTGACAACTCCATCTATGCTCCTCTCTTCTGGATTGTTCACTTCATGCCTCTTGTTGAATAAATCAATCTATGATACTTCCCACCCACATTCTTAAAATAAAAGTTATTTTCATCTATAAAACTCAATACTTGGAGGAGAAACCATGCCATTAGAAAAGATTCTCTCCATATGTAGGCTTAACCTATTAGCAAATTTTCTCTACTACATTTTGTGTATGAAACGAAGATGTTTTTTGCACATAGCTATGATATCTACAGTAAATTAACAAATTCACACCAAGAGTGTCAGATATTGTCTATGACACTCTACATATGAACTATCTTATATTATGCCTATGTTATTTATGCATTTATATAGCCTTTTGAATCATTATCATTATGATAGTCCTACAAGATAATAATTATTATTATTATTGCTATTTTGCAGATAAACAAGGGGAGTTTGATAAGGCATCATAATGTAGAGCTCTGCAGCACTGTAGAGAGGCAAAAAACAGTATTAACACACTTTTGGAGGGGTATCTCATTTTAATCCTAAGTGGAATCACTGTCCTACGGACATCACAGACTATCCAAATATGAAAAACAGGATGACCATACCAGTGGCAGAAGGTTGTCATCTGCCTTTGCAAAGCACTTTTGAAGATAAAAGTCCTGAAATTTTTGATTGTCTTATGCATACATGCATATGTCAATGTAGTAATTACTCCTAAGTCATTTCTGAGACATTTCAGTCAAGTACAGATATCTCAAGGCCACTAGAGTATATTAGAATATTTGTTTCTGTACCAGATACAACATGAAGTGCTATCTTTTATCTGAAGCTGTAGTACTATTCTCCTCTGAGAAGGGTGGGCTTGTTAGTCCAATTCTTTATCCTCTGGATACACTAGGCATCAGTATACAACTCATACAAGTGTCATCTCAAATATGAAAGCATACATGTCTCTGAATACCTACTCGTGTGTTCAGGATGATAAAATGCAATGTATAATCAATGCAAGGTGACTGATATGACTTAAGGCAAGTTTACCAAAAAATGCGGCAACTGCCCTGAATTCTTTTTATTGAGCAACTTGTTTGGCCCCCAGGTAAATGAAATATGGGAAAGAGTAGTCTGGTTATTGGACATATTTTATGTAAAGCTCAGGTCTATTTTCGTTTACAGATATCAAAGGCCTTAGGTTTACCTAGGAGTATCTTGAAGATGCTAAAGCAATCACACTTAAAATACCTGAAGAGGATGCTTTTCTAAAAAGTACCCAGGAAGAATTGTCATCTCTACAGCAGTGGTCCTCAGAGTGTAGTTGCAGATCAACAGGGCAGAGTCTAGACCTGAATGATCAAGGTAATAGCCCTATGATTTCTGTGGAGTTGTTCCCAAATCTCAAGCAGCTCTCAATTTACTTTTAAAAAGTTAAATGCTCAGCTTTGAGATTAACTTAGGTTATATAAAAGAAAACTGTTTGCTTGATTATCTGGTAGACACGAGATAAACCCTGAGGAATGGATATGATAGGTAACTTTTTAAATTCACTCGTGAGTAAGGTGATCTCTGACAGCTCATCACAGGGAACTGTGTTTTCAGCTATCCTTTTGCAACAGTCTGGACCCACAACAGACACTTAACTCACTTATGCTCTTTTCTTCTTCTTCCCCCAAAACTTAAAGATTCACTTCTATCACTACATTCTTGCCTGTCCCGTAGCAGAGTAATGCTGGGCTCGTTCCTAATAGCACTGTTTGTCAATTTTTTTTTTCAGAGAAGACTCTTTTAAAATATGTTATTATCTCTTAATTATTCCATGTATGTGTATGGGGGTATTTTCAGGTACATGCATGTGACAGTATGCATATAGAGGTCAGAGTTCAACTTTTAGGAGTCAGTCTTGTCCACCTTGGTGTCCCAGGGATCAAATTCAGGTCATCAGATTTATTGACAAGTGCCTCTACCAACTGAATCCTCTCATCCATCCAAGTGAGAGAATTTTTTGAAGAATGAAAAAAGAGAATGAAGGATACTTTTTTCATGAAAGAAAACAGAAGTATTTCAAGTGTAGGAGAAGGAAAAAGCTTGGTAGGATTCTTTCAATTTTATGATGCTCTCAACCTTTACCATGTTTTCTCTTCTTCATACATATGTTTATTTATTTTTGTTTTCTTACAGAGTATCATCACCATAAGTTATAGCCCTAAAACAGCTTTAGCATAAGCAGTATTTTATAACTCTATTTGAAGTGCAAATCTTGTTGGTAAGACTTCGAACTATTCTGTTGATAGCAGTAATCACAGCATAGGGCAGTATCTCCATCTTGACTCCAGTGAATCCTTTCATAGGTGAATTAATGGTGACTTTTGGTAATCTCCCACTGAAGGACTAGATCTGGACTTCAAAGAATTATTCTGAGTAGGATCTGAAAGAGACATAGGATAAAAGAAAGAAAATATGTGTTCTTAGAAAAACATAAAATTCATTATTTACAAGGTACCAGGCATCCTTCCATGCATCCTCTACAGAAATCTAATTCAATTCTCTCAAAACATTGTAAGGAATGACTATGGTTGCTTCCATATACCTTATGTCTAATAATTTCCTGAAGGCATTTCAGTTAGTAAAAGTGGGAAACTGGAAACTCTGCCTTGAAATCTGAGCTGCGGGGAGAGGGGAGGTCTCTGCAGCTGTCAACGCAGGCAGGAAAATGAATTGGGAAAACTGAGAATGAAAACTTGATTCAAACCAACTTAATCTGCCAGGATGAACCAAACTTCTAAAGAGTCTGATGCCAGGAGGTTTATTGTTAGCATATTTAAACACAATAGAATTTGAGGAAAAGTTTCCACCCAATAATCGCTCCAATTCCAAGTGCACACTAAAGCTTATGGTGTGACTCTATAGACACTGTTTTGCAAAGTGCATGTGACCTCAAAGGCAAGTTTTATAGCTTAAGGGCCTAGGATCTGGTGTTGTCTCTGACTGACATAACATAGAGGTCATCAGGCTATAAAGTACATGTGACATCTCCTCTAAGGATGGGCTCTATCATTTGGGAGCTAAAGATAAAGGTCTAGAGAGGGAGACTTTGGAATAAACTTCTGGGGGATTTGGGTAAAGTCTACCTGTACTGACAGCAAGAGGTGGGTGAGGTTTGCCTCTACAGATAGCAAAATATCACCAGGTCATTAGCAATATCCACTCAGTTTTCTGGGTAGAATGCAGGTATTTTATCTCTTTCATTGAAGAGACACCTATGTATTTATCATTCCTACTTTCCCTAGCAATCTGTGAGTGTAAGAACCATTGTGCCCCCAACAGTGAGCCTTTTAGCCTCTTCACTATACAGACTAACTTAATGTTGTTGTCTATAGACCTTTGTTATTCGGCTTTCCCTTCATTTAATCGGGAAGCATGTTTCATGCATACCCTGTGGGATAACTTATGAAAGTGCTAGGAGGAGTATGCAGAGGATTCACATGATTATTTTACAACCTCAAGAAACTCATTGGATTTAATATATTTAAAAAGTTCTTCACTCTCACATTGTAGTCAAGGTGTAAATCATAGTTGATGATAAGTACATTTGTTAAATTAACATGTGTATATGTACAAAGGGTAGGGAAGAAATCCTACAGGAACTGAGCCAATCTGGAAATAGCAGACATATATTTATTTTCTGCTGAAACATTTGCTAATAAGTGTTTTAAGCACAGATGTTGTCACTCTAGAATCCCTGGACTTCTCTTTTTTTACAATGGAATCCCTAACATATTTATAAGCCAGAAATACAAATTGCCTTTCCTTCTCTCTTCGGTGGTAAGGTGCTATGGTTTGAATGTATATGTTCCTCCAAAATGTGTACATTGGAGCTTTTACACCAAAGGATGATACTAAGAGGTGAACTCCTTGAATATGATCTGAATAAGGACAATAATATACATTCCAAAGTGGTTTGGGGAAAGCCCAGGAGACCTCAATCCTACATTAAGAACTATAGGCAACTAAGGAATGCTGAGATTAGGTGGAATAGTCTTCCATACAGAAGAGCACATCAACTGGTTAGCCAATACCGAAGGGTCAGCCCTTCATCAAATAATAGATTACAAAGAAGATGATTTCATCCTGTGATTGACAATGAAGAATGAGACAAGAGTATCTCACTGAAAAGTCCCCTCCCCACCCTCAGCCAGAGTTTAAATCCAAAAAAAAAGGTAATAAGAATGAGTCTATGTAAGCTAACATTCACATATTTTAACTTCCAAGGCCCTACCAAGAATGTGATGCCCAGAAGACTTACAGGTGTAGATGAATTAGGAGGGAAAAAAGAAGCAGTGAATAGGCACTCCAGATGCCATCTATACAAAGTAGAATAAAATAATTAAGACTGAAGCTATTTCTCTGTGGTAGAACAAACAAGGTTGTGGTAGCAAACGTATGTTCAGGAGCTCTGTCTGGTGTTTGGCTGTGGATCTCTGTGGTGATATTTTATTTGTGCTGAAATGTGGTAATATTTTGTTTGTATGTTAATAAATGAGGGCGGAGAGGCCATCCATTTTAAGTAAACAAGAAGTCAGGCAGCACACACCCTTAATCCCTTAGCAGGCAGGATCTCTGTGTAGCTAGAGTTTTCCTGCCTAGCCCACAGTCAGGACAAATCTCTGTCACCCACCAGTCCCACAACTGCTCAGACCCAACCAAGTAAACACAGAGACTTATATTGCTTACAAACTGTATGGCCATACCAGGCTTCTTGCTAACTGTTCTTATATCTTAACTTAATCCATTTCTATAAATCTATACCTTGCCACGTGGCTCGTGGCTTACCGGCATCTTCACATGCTGCTTGTCATGGCAGAGGCTGGCAGTGTCTCCCTCTGCCTTCCTGTTCTCTCAATTCTCCTCTCTGTTAGTCCCGCCTATACTTCCTGCCTGGACACTGGTCAATCAGTGTTTTATTTATTGACCAATCAGAGCACATACAGACCATCCCATAGCATCGCTGTGTGTTCAAGGCCACACTAGGGGACAGAGCCAAGCATGGTAACCTTTAATCCCAGTACCAACCATAGAGGCTTGGAAGTCTGTAAAGACAGACAGAAAGTGACAGATCTGTGTATGAAGTGGAGGTGAGGTAGCTGGGCTAAGATAGCCAATGAGAGAGCAGAACAACAAGGCAATAAAGGCATGGGTAGATAGGAAGTAACTCATATTTGGAAGCTACAGAGTAGGCAAGGTAAGGTTGGCTGGTGGGTTTCCCTATTTCCCTGATCTAATGCTTTCACCCCTATATATGGCTCCATGATTTTATTTAATAAGACCATTTAGAAATTTGTCTAAAGATCTCTGCTTCCATCAATCATTGGAGAAAAGCTCTATGATGACAGTCAAAGAGAAAGAAGAGGTATTCTATGAGTAAGTGCATCAGGATCATGATGGGGAAACCTGCAGAGATGACCAAACCAAACAAGTGGGAACTCATGAAAGTGGGATCAATGGCTGTGGAGCCTGCATGGGACTGGACTAGGCCTTCTGCATGGCGAGACAATTGTGTAGCTTGATCTGCTTGGGGGAACCCCTGGCAGTAGGACCAGAATCCATCCCTGGTACATGAGGGGGTTTTGGAGCCCACTACCTATGATGGGACAACTCGTGCAGCCTTGTGGCAGGGGGAAGGGCTTAAACTTGCCTCTACTGGATGTGCCTCCCATGGGGTGGGTTGCCTTCTTCAGGGGAGGAGTCGGGAGTGGGTTGGGAGGGGGAGGATAGGGACATGGGAGGAGGGAAGAAGTGAATCTTTGGTGTGTAAAATGAATGAATTTTTTTCTTAATAAAAAAAAAGACTTAAAAAATAATACAGATGAGCACTAACATGAAAAAATATATGTTCAACTGATAAACAAATGAAGTTTCTTTTCACTGTACTGCTATGGGGATGGTGAGAGAGCTTACTGGGTAACAATGCTTGCTGCCAAACCTAATAATGTGAGTTCAACCCCTAGAACCCACATGGTGTATAGAGAGAATCAACACTCACAAATTGTTCCATGATTCCCACACTTACATGGTGGCACACATATAACAGTGTGCACCCATGTGTGACACACACATACACACACAAACACACATGATAAATAAACGTTTATTTTTAATTCTACACTAAGTAAACAAATATTTTTTATGTTATTTTTTATCTTATAATTTGATTTAATTTTACATATCAGCCACAGATTTCCCCTGTCCTCCCTCCTCCCGTCTGCCTCCTACCCTCCCCCCAGCCCACCCGCCATTGCCCCAGGTAGAGCTCCAGGAATCCAATCAGTGAGAAAGAGGGGGGATTATATGAGCGAGAATTTTTGAGACCAAGATTGGAAAAAGCACAGGAACAAATAGCCAAGCTAGTGGAAACACATGATCTATGAACAAATATTTATTTTTAATTCTACTGAATTAAACATGTAAATATCTGTGAATTAGACCATTTTATTATAAAAAAAACTTTCCAAGAACTTAATGATATATATTAGATTCAGTGCTCATGATTGAATGGAGTAAATAGGAAACCTTGTTTGAAGAGCAATAATTTCAAGGAATAAATGAAGGGCTTTTAAAAAAAATCTTTCTCCATCATTTGTCTTTTGAGTTTAATTCTCAGTGAACTGATATGCCATAGTTTCCATAAAATCTATTACAGACTGGGTGTTTTAAGTAATAAATATGTACTTGTTGCTGTTAATTCTGGGCTCTGGATGTTCAGAGTTAATGTGTTGTCGTGGTTGAGTTCTACCTCTTCTTGTCTTTACATAGCCTTTTTTCTGTGCATGTTTATTCTCATATCTCCATGAGACCATATTCTTAGCTCCAATCACATCAGGCTAAGTCTCACTCTCATGACATAAAACATTTTAACTTAATCACATCTTGAAGATCTCTGTGCCCCAAAATAATCACATTCGGAGGTCCTGAGTATTGGGGCTTAACATAGGAGATTAAGAAAGACATAAGCAACCCTGTCTCAAAAAAAAAAAAAAAAAAAAAAAAAAAAAAAAGACACAAGCCAGCTCACACCAGTCTTTCATTGTTTTGTTTTCTCTGCGCTACGGTGTTTCCCAAGTACTTTATTAGTAATAATATCATTTGTAATATCTTCAGTGAACACTGACCACTTCTGCTTTATGTTAATTAAAGCTCATGTGGTCAAGTAGATCAACCATTACACACTATTTATACTAAGAAATACAACACTAGAGAAGTTAGTCAGAATTACACAATGTCCTTACTAAGAATAATTAATCTGGAATTTTACCATAAACAGTAAGGTCTGAGCCTTGCTTACATTTGTTATCTCACTCATCACAACCTATTTGTAACTACGTGGTAATCTGGCTTGAAATCTGGGCTTTACAAATATTCCACTAAGAG